CTGTGGAAGCCGCTGGGGTGAGACCCAAGGGAATTTCCGCCAGGATGAGCCCCAGGATTACCCAGGGATGTCAGGAGCTCATAGGTGTCCAACACGACGTTCCGGTACAGCTCCCGCTGTCCCGCCTGGAGTGAGTCCCACTCAGCCCGGCTCAGGTAGACCATCACATCCTCGAAGGTCACCGGAACCTGCACAGGGAGCAGGGATCACACCCTGCTCAGGGATCACAGCCACAGGGATCACACCTTCCCACATGGATCACACCCTCCTTCCTAGATTTTCAGTTTTCCAGGTGCTATTCCCACCCCAGGGGAGCTCCCAGGATATGAGGCCATGGAAGGGCCCCATAGCGGGGAGAATTATGGATCTAAGAGAAGGACAGGCTGGAATCCAGCATCAAACACTGGAATCCGGCACCTCGGGATGTGTTTTCCCACTCCTGCCAGGAGATCCCAAGGGATTGAGATATTCCAGGACTCCAGGTCACACAAAGCCGGGTGGGATTTTCTGGGCAGCCCCTGGTGACCCCCCATGGCCCATCCCAGGGAATCCTTGGGATCAATCCCAAAGAAAAGGAGGGAAGGAGAGGTTGGAGAGAGGCAGAGAAGGGATAGGGGGTAAATGTTGAGGGGACTTTCAGGGGGGTGGGATAGGGGGCTTGGGGGGGGATTCGATGGAGGGTATTTGGTGGGTGATGGGGGGTTTGGTGGAGGCTTTGGGGATTGATGGGTGATTTTGGGTGGTGAGGGGGGTTTTGAGGGGTATGACTGGAGGGCTGTGATGGAGGTTTTGGAGGGTGATGGAGGTTTTGGGGGTGACAGAGGTGGGGGTTGGGGATATGATGGGGATCCCCCCACACATGGGGGATTTTGGGGGGTAATAGGGGGTATGATGGGAATTTTGGGGGGCTGTGGTGGTGTTTCGGGTGAGTGATGGGGTGGGGAGCAATGGGGGCTGTGATGAGGCTTTTAGGGGGGGTTTGGGGGTGTAATGGGGTCCTGGCTATTTGAGGCCGAGTCCCTCCAGCCCCTGCCTGGGGGGGCTGCGAGACCCCCCCAGAGCCGGGGGAACATCGAGGGCCGGGGGATTGGAAGGGCGTCCCGGGGCTCCCCCCACCAGTGCCCGGCTCCTACCTGCGCCTGTCCCACCATGGCGGCCGGGGGGGGCCCGGGAGGGTCCTGGAAGGTTCCCGGGGGGTCCCGCGGCCTCTCCCGCACGCGCTTCCGGCCCAGGCCTCGCCCACTCCGGAAGCGCCGCCATTGTCTACCCGGAAGTGACCCGGAAGTTAAACCCCGTCGGGAATTAAATCCTTCCTGGAATAGGGACCCCAGGCCTACCTGGGGGGGACAGCCCTCCCCAGGAGGGAATTTTCTCAATGTCTAACCTGACCCTCCCCCGGCGCAGCTCGAGGCCATTCCTGTCCTGTCCCTTGTTCCCCAGGAGCAGAGCCCGACCTCCCCTCCCCGTGGATCCCACCCCTTACCACCCGCTTTGGGCTCCAAAGTCCTGGATTCTCCTGGAATCCCCAAAATTCTTGGGAGAATTCTCAGGTTTTCCAGCACAAACTGTCTGGATCTGACCCAGCTCCGGGCTCCGGGTTTTTCCACTCTGGATTCCTCCCAAGGATCCTGTGTCTTTGACTCTTCCGTAATTCCCTTCCCCCTTGATGTTGTGGAAGTGGTTCCCTCCATTTATCCTATGGAATTTTCTGTGTAATCCCTTTCTCCTGCCTGCACGTCTTTGGCATTAAGAGTCAGAAATCTGGGATAAGTCACATCCCATCGTGTCCCAAGGATCCCCAGGAATCAGAGGAGTCAAGATTAGTCACTGACTGGGCCCAGTGAGTCTGGTTGGCCTTAATAAGGATCCCAGAGTCTGGAATTGTGGGGTTTATTGGGGCAACAGACACCTGGCTCTAGAATTCTGTTGATAAAAGCAGGAGCCCAATAACAAGGATAATACTGGGTTAATGTGGGATTAATGAGAATCCGACAGAGCAGCTTCCAGGGGCGACATTCCCACTCGGAGCAGGGACAGGACAGTCTCCAAGATCCCTTTGGCTCTTCTTCTGTACCAGGGAATTTCCTGCCCCCTCATTCCAGCCCAATCCCATCTCCCACCTCAGGTGCTGCCTGTGGCAGATCCAAACCCGGAGCTGAGGGGTGGAGTCACATCCTCATTAGCATCATAAGGCTCATTAGCATATATAGAGATATATTTTAATATTAAAATCACCCATAATTGGGCAAAAGTTACTTTTTGTGCTGGTGTCCCTCAAAGTTCCAGGTCCAGACTGTTCGTCAGAGCCAAGCCAGGATCATCCCATTCCCATAGGAGCCATGTCTTCATCCATATGGATAACGGCAGGGAACGTGGGGTGGGATTTGAGATCTGGAATTTGGGAGCCCTCCTAGCCCTGTGGTCGTCATCCCACAAAATTAGAGCAGTCTGGGGGGCTCAGGGCTCCTCCAGCACCTGGAGCTGCTCTGGGATCCAGGGTGTTTGGAGCCCTGGAACGCAGAGGGGATGAAGGGAATTGTGGCTTCCCCATCCCTGGAAGTGTTCGAGTGTTGCTGGAGCAACCTTGGATAGTGGAAGGTGTCCCTGCCCATGCAAGGGCTGGGATGGGATGATCCTTAAGGTCCCTTCCAGCCCAAACCATTCCAGGATAGCACAACTCCCTGAGAGGTGCAGAGGAAAAGCAGGACCCCCCGGACACCAGTTTTGGGGAGATATTTCCACCCCATCCCTTATCCAGGGTGGTTCTTCCTCTCCTCGGCAGCTCAGCTCCCATCGACCCCCCGGTGTCACTGTGGTGACATCCGGGGCCAAGGTCCGTGTGGGACAGAGCTGGCGGCTCCGGGACAGCCAGGAAGGCCGGAGCAGCCGGAGCAGCCGGAGCGGGGCCATGAGGCTGTGGCTGCTCTGTGCCGTGGCCGCTGCCGTGGCCGTTGTGGCCGTGGCTGGATCCGGAGCCAGAGCCGGATCCAGAGGCGAGCACGGGCACTCGAGGATGGTGGCACAGGGGAGAGAGGTCTGTTGTGTGCAGAGCGGGGAAAGGCTGGGAATAACGGAGCCGGGTGCAGGGAGAGCACTGAGGGAGGGGAACATTCCCTGGCACCGCAGGGACCAACCCGTGCCCCCCATCCCGGTTCCCAGGGGACACCAGTCACATGCCCAGGCCCCCAGGCCACATCCCTGCGAGCAGCTTTTCCAGCCTCCCCTTCCCTGTGTTGGGAATGAGGGTGAGCTCAGTGCTCCGGCCCCTCGGGATTGCACAACCGGACAGGATCCCATTGGGATGGTGAGGGGAGAGCGGGGGGGACATGGGGAGAGTTCCCTGGGAAGCTGCGTGTCCTGCCCACATTCCCACTGCCTTGGGCTCTGGCAGATCCCAATCCAGCCTTTCCCCCCCAGGGCCGGCGGAGGCCGCACAGACCCTGCTCCGGCTGCTTCTCCGTCCTGAGCGAGGTGAGCCAGGATCGGGAATGGGGGAAGCAGGATGAGGGACAGGGGCGTGTGGTGGTGACGCCCCCACGGTGTCCGGTGTCCGGTGGCTCTGGTGGCTCCCATACCCTGTGTCTGTCCCGCAGGAGTCACAGTCCTGGAATTCCCGTGAGGAGGATGTGGCTCAGCCAGGCAGGAGAGTGAGTACAAAGGCAGCCCTGGAATGGGGATGGGGATGGGGATGGGATGGGAGTGGAGATGGGATGACCTCTCCCTCTCGTGGGACTCTGTGCTGCACTGCCCTTGCTCCCACAGGGAAGAGCCCGGCGGGAGGACCCGGATCCGGCACATCCCATGGGACACCCTGGCCGTGTCCTGCTGCTGTGACACGTCACAACAGAGCCCCAGCAGGACCCCCGGGCTGGGCAGGGACCCCCACGCAGGGACCCCCAGGATGCTCCAAACACCCAACAGCGCAGTGGGAAGTGATGCCAGAGGACGGGAGCGATGCCAGGGGCTGGGAACAGCCCCATGCCAGGAGAGAGCCAGGGGCTCAGCCGCCCCCTCCCTGCCCTGAGCTGAGTCCCACCGGCCCCCCCCCCCCAAAATCCCTCTGGGGGCAGCTGCCCCTCCCTTTTCCAAGCTCCCAAATAAATCTGGAGCACCGGAGGATGTGTTTGGGACACACACGTGGTGGGTGATTCCTGATGGGGTGACCCCACTCTGAGGGTGCTGCTCCCGCTCCAGCCCTGCTCCCACCCATCCCAGCCCTCCCCACACTCCTCACATCACCAGGGATCCCCTCCTTGGCACAACTGGGGCTTACTGGTCTGTGCTGGGCTCCAGTGGCTGGATACAGGGGCCTGGCTGTATCCCGTGGGAGTGCTGGGTCCCTTCTCCATGGGGTGGGCCTGATTCCGGTGGGCTGGATCCCACCATGCCCGGGGGCCCTCCGGAGGGACAGCAACCCCCAGGATGGGCAGAACTGGCAGCCCCCCACCCCCGGCTGCCGTGGGAGCTGCGCCTGAAGCTGCCGTGGAGGTGTTCCCCCGTCACGGTGTTTCCCATCCCCCTGCTCCCCTATCCTGGTGTTTCCCATCCTGGTGTTCACCATCCCAGTGCTCCCCATCCCGGTGCTCCCGATCCTGAACCCCTGAGGGGTCCCTCGGGCATGATGGGGGATTCCCTGAAGGATGACAGTTCAGGGAGACAGGTGGTTCCCCCAGGAATGCCGGTTCCAGGGGAGGTGGGGCTGGGATCCCCCCAGCGATCCCGGCCCCGGGGGTCCCCAGGGGTGCCCGTTCAGGGGGCTGGGGGGTGGGGTGGGGGTCTGGGGGAGACCGCTGGGGTCCGGCCGTGGTGGCCCCGCCCCCTCGTTGTGGCCCCGCCCTCTCTCACGGTCCCGCCCCCTTGCCGTGGCCCCGCCCCCGCCCCTTGGCGGTCGCTCCTCCCGGCCGGCAGGGGGCGCCCGCTCCCGCGCGGAGGCGCTCTGGGCGGGAAGGGGCGCCCCCTGTGGGCCCGGCGGGCGGCGCGGGCGCGGGGCCGGGGCGGCGGAGCGGCCGTGGCCATGTCCCGGCGGGGGGCGGGCAAGCAGGTCCGGGACCGCGGGGACACCGGGCACGGGGCAGAGCGCACAGAGCGGCTGGGTCACGGGGGCGCGGGGGTCCCACGGGGGAGCGGGGCGCGGGGGCCTGGGGGGTCCCTCAGGGCTCTGGGGGAGGTGGGAAGGGGGGATCCCTGAGGGGGACAGTTCAGGGCGTTCCCCCAGGGGTGCTGGTCCTGAGGGAAGGGGAGCTGGGGGACCCCTCGGGGGGGCCGGTCATGAGGGTCCTTAAGGGGTGACAGTTCATGGGGACAGGGGGGTCCCCCAGGGGTGCTGGGGATCCCTCAGTTCTGCCAGTGCGAGGGTCTGGGGGGCTCCTTTGGGTCCTGGGGAAGGCGGGGATGGGGGTAGTCCCTTGGGGGTGCTGGTTCAGGTTCTGGGGGTCTCCTTTGGATCCTGGGGAAGGCAGGGATGGGGTGCTCCCCTGGGGGTGCTGGTTCGGGGTCCGGGGTTCTCCTCTGGGTCCTGGGGAAGGCGGGGATGGGGGTGATCCCCTGGGGGTGCTGGTTCAGGTTCTGGGGGTCTCCTTTGGATGCTGGGGAAGGCGGGGATGGGGTTGCTCCCCCGGGGGTGACAGGCATGCTCTGGCAGATCCCTGCGGGATGGGGGTCTGGGGGAACTCCTCGGGGCTGCCGGGGGGTCCTGACCCCTAAAGCCCCCTCCCTGTCCGCCCCAGGTGTCGAGCTCCCCGCGGCGGAGGGCTGTGCCGGGCGCGGAGCTGCAGGAGCTGCGGAGCCGCACGGAACGCGCCGAGCGGCGGCTCCTGGCCTGCGAGACCCTGGTGGGGGAGCTGGGCAGCGGCCTGGCCAGCCTGGGCACCGTCCTGCAGGGCTACGGGGAGCTGCAGCAGCGCCTCCTCAACCTGGAGAACCTCCTCAAGAACAGGAACTTCTGGCTCCTGCGCCTCCCCCCCGGCTCCCGCGGGGAGATCCCCAAGGTAACGGTGTCCGGGGGCTCCCTGGGGTGAGGGGCTGAGCTCCTGCGTGTCCGGGGGCTGTGGAGCCACGGGGGTTCCCTGTGCTTCCAGGTGCCGCTGACCTTCGATGACGTCTCGGTGTATTTCAACGAGCTGGAGTGGGAGAGGCTGGAGCGCTGGCAGAAGGACCTGTACAGGGCCGTGATGAGGGGCAACTACGAGACACTGGTGTCCCTGGGTAAGGCTCAGGGAGCCACGGAATGTCCCGAGCTGGGAAGGATCCACAGGGATCACAAGTCCAACCCCTGGCCCTCCACAGCCCCAGCAATCCCACCCTGTCCCTGAGAGCGTTATCCAAACGCTCCCTGAGCTCTGTGCCCACTGCCCTGGCGAGCTGTTCCAGGGCCTGACCACCCCTCTGGGGGAAGAACCTTTTCCTGATATCCAGCCTAAGCCTCCCCTGGCACAGCTCCAGCCATTCCCTTGGGACCCCAGTGGCAGAACCACTCCTGGGCTGCCAGACCCCCCAGTTTCCCACCCTCCTGCCTGTGAGCCAGGAGCAGCATCCAGAGAGAATTCTTGGAGTAAATAATAATAATAATAATGCAAAATAATTTCGTAGAAAGAAATATCTGTGTGAAACGCTGTTCCTCCTGGCTATGGAAGTGGATTCCAGACTTGGGGAACCATCATCATGCAGTGCCAGGACAAGGGGGAATGGCTTCCCACTGCCAGAGGGCAGGGAAAGTTGGGATATTGGAAAGGAATTCTTCCCTGTGAGGGTGGGGAGACCCTGGCACAGGTTGCCCAGAGAAGCTGCCCCTATCCCTGGAAGTGTCCCAGGCCAGGCTGGACAGGGCTTGGAGCAACCTGGGATAGTGGAAGGTGTCCCTGCCTTCCACTAGAGGGAAATGTTCCAGCCACAGCTTTTCCCTCTCCTTTGGAATTTTAGTTCATGCTCTGTTGGTTGAGATCTTTTTCCTGGGTGGATCCTGCCACGGAGCCAAGGAAGTGGCTCCACTGCCATGGATGGAGCAGGGATGGGGTTTTTGTGTCTCTGCCAGGCCTGGGGAGAGGGGAGAAGGGTCCCTTTGGGAATCTGCCAGGATGAAGGTGCAGCAGCTCCCAGTAACCCCATCCTCTGCTCCATGAACAGACTATGCCATGTCCAAGCCCGACATCCTTTCCCAGATCGAGAAGGATGAAGAGCTCGGTGACAAAGAGGATCAGGAGCCCCCATGGACATGGGCTGGGGACAGACAGGAGCCCCCACAGGCACCAGAAGGGATGGAGCAGGCAGAGGAGTCTCTGGGAGGTGAAATGCCCATGGAAGCTGGCCCAGGTGGGTGCCGGGAGGAGGTGGCTGTTCCTGGAGATCTCCCAGGGTTTGCTGACCCCGTGGATCCAACGGCCCTGGAGCACTGGGAACCTTCATTCCAAGGGGGGATGTTTGTGCTGTGTCGGATGGATCCCATGGAGAAAAGCAGGCAAAGCCTGCAGGAGGGGCTGGGATGGGGTCTGGAGCAATGGGGCTTCCAGAGACGTTCCTGCCTGCCACGGTGAGAGAGGAGACGTGGTGGGAAGTGAGGAACTGGGAGTGAGGTGGGAAGAGGAGGCTGGAGCTGCTCGGCTTGTCCTGCTCCGCTGGCAGGGGTGGGGCAGGGAGGAGGTGTTTGTGTGTCTGTCGGGGCTGGGGACAGGGGACAAGGGTCACTTTGGGAATCTGGCAGGATAAAGGTGCAGCCAAACCCTAACAAACCCCCCTTCCTCTGCCCCAGGAGTGGACAGTGCTGTGTCCAAGCCCAGTGGCCCATCCCGGATCGAGAGGGATGAAGAGCTCCCTGACAAAGAGGGTCAGGAGCCCCCACAGACACAGACTGGGGACAGACAGAAAAACCCACAGGCACAGACTGGGGACAGACAGAAACACCCTCAGACACACACTGGGGACAGACAGAAACACCCTCAGACACACACTGGGGACAGACAGGAACACTCTCAGGCACACACCAGGGACAACCAGAATCATCCTCAGACACACACTGGGGACAGCCAGAAACAACCACAGACATGCACTGGGGACAGACAGAAACACCCCCAGGCACAGACTGGGGACAGCCCAAAGCCTCCCCAGACACGCTCTGGGGACAGACAGAAACACACCCGGACACAGACAAGGGACAGACAGAAACCCCCCCAGACAGGTGTCCCCAACAACCAGAAGCCCCCACAGACACCAGAAGAGACGGAGCAGCAGGAAGAGGCTTTGGGAGAAGGTCCTGTCCCCATGGAAGGGGGGCCAGGTGAGTCCCAGAGGTGCCAGGGGGGTGTGTTTCTCTGGCAGTGCCCGTGGCAGAGGGCACAGCTGCTCCTGATGCTCAGAGGAGCATCACCAGGGAGGAGTGGGAGCCTTGGGTCGCTGGCACAGGCCAATGGAAGGGGGTTGAGGGCCTGGACATGGGAATACAGCCTGTGGAGATGGTGGGATGAGGCTGCTCCGTGGAGGTGATGGCACATGGTGCCTTGGTGTCCTTCTCCCAGCCCTCCCTCTGCTTTTGGTCCAAGTGTGGCTTGGCTCCAGTTCCTCCCAACACCTCACAGGCTTTCCTTAGAATCCATGAGGTTGGAAAAGCCCTCTAAGACCATCAGCTTCCTCCATTCCCCAGCACTGCCAAGGCCACCACTGACCCATGTCCCCAAGTGCCACATCCACAGGGCTTTGAAATCCCTCCAGGGATGGGGACTCCACCCCTGCCCTGGGCAGCTGTGCCAAGGCTGAGCAGCCCTTCCCAGGAGGAATTCTTGCAATATCTAATCTGTGTCCTGGCTCTTGAGCCACAGCTCTCTCTGGCTTTTCCGCACACTCCCGGCAATCTCCAGTTCCTCACACTGGAGTGGGGAGCTCTCCATGGGTCTTTCAAATCCCTTTTCCCTGCAAACAGAACTCCCCATCCTGGTGATGAACGTCATGTCCCTGGGGGGCCATCGGCCAGGGATGGAGACGGAGGAGGATCCGGAGGATCCCGCAGATCCCGACACAGGTGAGACACCCTGTGCTGGGGACATGGGGTCTGGCGGACAGGAGACAGCTCCCAGAGCTCTGATGGGCTGGAAATGGGGAGGGAGAAGGACAACCATCAGGAGATGGGCCACCACTGACCCACATCCCCAAGTGCCACATCCACAGGGCTTTGAAATCCCTCCAGGATAGGACTCCACCCCTGCCCTGGGCAGCTGTGCCAGGGCTGGGCAGCCCTTCCCAGGAGGAATTTCCCCAATATCCAACCTGACCCTCCCCTGGCACAGCTGAGGCCGTTCCCTCTCCTCCTGTCCCTTGTTCCCTGGGGGCAGAGCCTGACCCCCCCCCCCGGCCCCCCCCTCCTGTCAGGGGGTTGCAGAGCCAGAAGGTCCCCCCTGAGCCTCCTTTTCTCCAGGCTGAGCCCCCCCAGCTCCCTCAGCCCCTCCTGCTGCTCCAGCCCCTTCCCAGCTCCCTTCCCTTCCCTGCACACGCTCCAGCCCCTCTTTATTGTCCTGAGGGGCCCAAAGTGCCCCCAGCCCTGGAGGTGCCTCAGCAGTGCCAGCACAGGGACGGGCACTGCCCTGGGTCTGTGTCACCCCAGTGTCCCTCTGTTCCAGAGGAAGCCTCGTTACCGGAAGATGAAATGCCGTGTGAAGGGGATCCTCCCGAGAACACGGAGGTGAAGGAAGAGGAGCCTGAGGTGCTGCCAGAGGATTCCACGCCCTGTTCTGGCTCAGAGATCCAGAAGTGCCCCAAAAACGAGCCGGTCAAAGCCAAGAGCAAGAAGAAGCCGAACCGGTGCGAGACCAGCAGCCTCCTGATGGGGAACTGCCGGCGCGGGTACGTGCGGGAATGGTGCCATCCCTGCACGGAGTGCGGGAAGCGCTTCCGCCTCAAGATCAACCTCATCATCCACCAGCGCAGCCACGCCAAGGAGGGGCCCTACGAGTGCCCCGTGTGCGAGATTGGCTTCACCGACAAGCGGCACCTGGACCTGCACCGGAGCGTCCACGTCAAGGACAGGGCCGTCGGAGCCAAGGTCTGGGGGAACGTGCACCCGGAGCTGCGCGTCCGCCCGCGGAGGGACCTCTGCGGCGGCAGCCCCGGGCTGGGCAACGGCATCCACGCCGGGGGGGCCTTGCTGGGCCAGCCCAAGGAGGAGCCGGACGGAGGGGGCGGGTCCGGCGCCAGGATCGCGCAGCCCCCGAATCCCAAGCTGAAGTGCATCTACTGCAAGAAGGTGCTGTCCTGCCCCGTGTCGCTCCGGCGGCACCTCCGCACCCACGCGCGGGAGCGGCCCCACTGCTGCAGCTCCTGCGACAAGAGCTTCACCCGCCACACCCACCTCCTGCGCCACGAGAAGATCCACGAGCGAGCCCGGCGCGCCGCCGCCATCCCGGCATCCCAGCATCCCGCGGCTCCTGCGGCCCAGAGGAACGTTTCCAAGGGGAACACGAGCCCCAAGCCAACAAAAGCGGGTCCACCCAACGCGCTCCTGTTGGGAGCGACACAGCTGGAGCTCCCAGACAAGGGCTGCCCCCTTCCCAACCGCGTCGGGAGAGCCGCACGGCCCGTGGTCCGGCTGGGAACGAGGGCGGCGCCGGCGGGGATGATGGAGAAATGACCACGGGGCAGATCCGAACTGTGTGTGGCCCTGGAGAGAAGCTGTGAGTGTTGGGTTTGCGTGTGGTGAGGCACCAGGGTTGGGAATCTGCTGCGTTTTAGGAGCTTCCCGGAGTTGTAGAAAGAATGGGAAGCATGGAGACCACCACAGAGAGCAAATTGCAGGAGCCTCCAGCAATCTGAAATGCTTCACCATTCCACTGACTCTTGTACCCATTGGCTGATGCTTGGAATTTTGCCAAGCTGACGTGCCTGGGAGATGACCAGGTCAAACAGCAGCTGAGCTCTCCCATTCCTTGACACTGGAACTGACCCCTCGCCTTGGGAAACACAACTGAAGAGGACAGGGAGAAGGGAATGGAGTGGCACCATTCCCAAGGAGCCCTTTGCTCCACTGACCAAGCTTCCTGACCAAGACGCTGGATGAAGGGAAACCCCACCATGTCCCGGCCACGCTTGTCACACCCCATCCCAGGGAGGAGATCCACCAACCCCTGCAGCGGGTCGGGAATGCTGGAGCTTTGCACTGGAAGATCCGTAGAACAAATCAAA